CATTTGCCCTGAGACCAATGCAACTATTGTCCTGTCACCATAAATTATGTATATAAATCTCCCATGATGCATGGCTAATCATTTTACAAAAAGCACATATTAAAATCGTGCTGCCTATATATATATATGGATGGTCTGGATAAACCACCAGAGGATTACCAAGTGTGGATTAGATTAGATAACAGAGGATTACTGAGTGTGGATTAGATTCGATAACAGAGGATTACTGAGTGTGGATTAGGTTCGATAACAGAGGATTACTGAGTGTGGATTAGATTAGATAACAGAGGATTACTGAGTGTGGATTAGATTCGATAACAGAGGATTACTGAGTGTGGATTAGATTAGACACTAGAGGATTACTGAGTGTGGATTAGATTAGACACCAGAAGATTACCAAGTGTGGATTAGATGAGACACAGGATTATTACTGAGTGTAGATAAGTTTGGATACAGGAGTGCAGGAGAATTACTGGGTGTGGATTAAATTATTAACCAGAGGATTACTGGGTGTGGATTAAATTAGACACAGGAGGATTACTGAGTGTGGATTAGATGAGACACCAGATAATTACTTCGTGTCGTGAGTTATTTAATCCGATGTAAAGACTTGTCTGTGCCACCTTGACCTGCCCTAGATTGCGTTAACCCAGGCCGTGTCGTGTTTCAGAGATTTATTTCTTCTATTTCCTCTTTGGTTTTTACTAGAGAACAAACGTTTTTTTTTGTCACTATTTTTTTTGTGGTAGTTCATTTATTATGCTATTTTAAAAGTCACTTCTTTGTTGTTTTAATGTGGTTTCATAAGTCATTTCTATGTTGTTTTAATGTTGTTTCAAAAGTCATTATAAATATAAGTTGTTTTAATTTGGTTTCAAAGCTAATTTCTATACTATTTTTATGTTGTTTCAAAAGCCATTATAAATATAAGTTGTTTTAATTTGGTTTCAAAGCTAATTTCTATACTATTTTTATGTTGTTTCAAAAGCTGCTTCTCGTTTGTTTCTCTGTTGTCTTATATAAAAGTAATGTAATTCTGTTAAATCTGCTTTTTTAAACAAGTCATCATATTGCGATATGTTTGTTTATGTAAGAATTTGGTCTGGGTTTGTTGATTTATAAACTTTTGTATAAACTTTTGAGCAATTTCCGGTAACCGGAAGTAGTACTTACTCTACTTCGGGTTTCTCAGAAAACAAATAACTTGAGTACCGTTTCGGTTAGGTAGGGTAGACGAAAATTTCATATTTAAGAATACGATCTTATTCTTTGATTTTATTCCTAATTTTTGAGTGACTTCTGATAACCGGAAGTGGTACTTTACTTAAAACCTAGTTTTAAATTACCGAAGATTTAGTACCGTTAGGTAGAAAAAAATCTTATACATAGGTATAATTACGTATTCTTTTGATTCCTTGAAATTTTAAGTGATTTTCGGTGACCGGAAGTAATACTTTACTTATTTCCACTTTTTAAAAAGCTAAGCAATGTTTCCTTTATAAAGTACTAATTTTCCGCTCTATTATATACACGTTGATTGCGTTCAAGTGGTGCGCAATATTTTTTGTGTTCAGTTTTTCTCAATGTTTAGAATTTAAGTATTTAGAAAGTTAGTTTTAAAAAAAATGTTTAAAGCCAGGTCAGACTGGAAGAATATGCTGGAAAGTTTAAGGGAGACCACTCCCGCTTTATTTTTTTTTTAAGGTCATCGAGAAGTTACGGTGTGAATCGTCAGCAAAGAATATGTAATGTGCTTAGCAATAAATGCCACTAAAAACACATTGTAGTAGGGTGGACCTCATGTTTATATAATACCACCTAGGGTTAAAATTTCTTTTAACATGAGAAAATACAGTTTCCGCTTTGATCTTGTTTTGTATTTAAAAGAAATTAAAATGGATCTTGTCAACAACAGGTGCGAGATATTTTCAGCATGCACCGAAATGACTTGGGAAACAAATTGATGTGATAAATATGGGAAACACGTTAATGTGATAAACATTTTGGGAATGTTTGGCTCGTCGTTAAAATACATAATTCACATAAATCACTTAATTCGTTTAGAACATGTGAACCTTGGGAGTTAAATAGAATTTCTGTTGATTTCTTGTTTAATTTTTATTTAATTCTAAAAAGCTGCCGGAAATAGAGGACAGCTAATGAAATATTATTTTTGGCGTTACCTGGTGCAGATGTTAGGAACATCTTGATGTGTGATGGCCACGATGATGTGTGATGGCCATGATGTGTGATGGCCATGATGTGTGATGGCCATGATGTGTGATGGCCATGATGTGTGATGGCCATGATGTGTGATGGCCATGATGTGTGATGGCCATGATGTGTGATGGCCATGATGTGTGATGGCCATGATGTGTGATGACCATGATGATGTGTGATGGCCGCGATGTGTGATGGCCACGATGTGTGATGGCCATGATGTGTGATGGCCACGATGTGTGATGGCCACGATGATGTGTGATGGCCACGATCTGTGATGGTCACGCTGTGTGATGGCCACGATGTGTGATGGCCACGATGTGTGATGGCCATGATGATGTGTGATGGCCACGATGATGTGTGATGGCCATGATGTGTGATGGCCACGATGTGTGATGGCCACGATTTGTGATGGCCACGATGTGTAATGGCCACGATGTGTGATGGCCACGATGTGTGATGGCCACAATGTGTGATGGCCACGATGTGTGATGGCCATGATGTGTGATGGCAACGATGTGTGATGGCCACGATGATGTGTGATATCCACGGTGTGTGATGGCCACGATCTGTGATGGCCACTTGACCGATGGCCATACAACAAACATTTGGGCCACATATTCCTCTAACAATGTCTAAAAATAGTTCATCTCCCCACCAAGGCATAGATTGAAAGAGTTTATATTAAATACCATTAAACAAGAGAAATGTCAGTTTAGTTGGGTTTTTTTTATCGGATTGGGGAAAAAATGTGGAACTAAACTCTATTGGTCACTCAAGTAATCTTTTCGATACACTTGGCCTTTATGATTCAAGCATTTTAAAGTCTCGAGTCAGACTGGTGAATTAGTGAAAAGCAAATTAGCAAATTATCACGTTCTCCGTTGTTGAACTAATTTAGTTTTAAGTGTTACAACAGTTGTTTGTGTAAAGTTACGGTAAAAAAGTTGCCAGCTAGTACTTTATAAAGTTAGGTATGACTGGTCTGTAGGTCACTCTAGTGCAGGACATATCCGTCAAGGGGCGATCTGACCTATCAATTAAACTCGATCTTGGATGATTAAGAAATTGTTATATTTTTTTCACGGGAGTAATTAAAACAGAGTTTTTAGTTTTCTTTTTGTCATTTGCTGAGAAGCCTTTTTCTTCTAGAATCCTTTTATTATGCAATAACATTTTTTACGTCATTTTGTTTTATCTACGATCTAAGTATAATTGTTCTTGATATTATTGAGGTCAGTAGTTCAAGGACTAATTAAACATGTTTTCTTAATTCGATTGTTATTTGATGACCTCCTAACCTTTTGATTGTCGGCCTGAGTATGTCCACTAAAATCAAATGTGACGTGATCTGAAATTCTCCCCCCCCCCTCTCCCCACACCTGCCTACTATTACTCCGAATACCGAATCAAACCTGAAAATAGTCTCATAATTTGTAACTTCATGATTGGGCAAATCTAAAGCTAAAAGTAATCAAGCCAAGTCGTGTTACAATCTTGATGTGCGATTAATGTACAGTCCACTGAGTACACAAATAATGTCCTGTTGGGATGTACATTTTTGTCATCTGCAACACAACTATTGTATTTAGTTTAAACGGCAAGACGTTTATTTTAAGACTGGCTTTAAACTTTGATAAGTGGGTTAGCTAGAGAAGCAGATGTCGAAATAAGAAGGCGGTGGGGGGGGGGGGGGGGGGAGAGAGAAGGGTAGTGGACGAACATAAAATAAAGCGATGGAAATAATTGAATTACGTATTGTGTTTCTTACGACTTTTATTCTGGTCTTCAGTTCGTCTGGTCTGCATTTAGCCTTTACGCAACAACGTTATTGAATTGTTTATCTAGTCCCAGTGGATGCACAGCATGTAAACTACTTTAATTCACAAAAAGTTGTTTTTTTTTTTAAAGTTAGGCTGACCGGAAATTCGCGAGTTCAAATCCTGGGCCGATGAGGCACGTTAAAACCCACCTCGGAGGTTGTACACCAAAATAAAAACAGGTTGGGCCACTTAGGCGATAGATTTACTAAATGTAATTTACTTTCGGTAGATTCTGCGTCCGAAGTTTGTATCAAACGTATTGCCTTTGAAGTAGCTTTCCTTTGGTACATATTTTCTAAGGTCAAAAGAGGGACCACAATTGATAGTCAACGCATAATCTCTTTATCTAATGCATTGGCGAAATGGGGCTCAATACACTAATTTACTGTAAAGTTTAAAGCAGTCCGATGTGCTGTGTTACAGCTGTTGTCTCACTCGTCTACCTACTTGCAGCTGTAACAGTACCGTGTATTTTGACCTTAAAGACCTATGTTTTCCTACTACTTGACCTAAAGACCTCTTGTTTTACCTACTTACTTGACCTTAAAACCTTTGTCTGCCTACTTACTTGTCCTAAAGACTTCTGTTTGCCTACTAATCTGATCTAAAGACCTCTGTTTGCCTACTAACCTGACCTAAAGACCCGTGTCTACTTACTTGACTTAAAGACTTCTGTTTGCCTACTAATCTGACCTAAAGACCTCTGTCTACTTACTTGACCTAAAGACCTGTGTCTACTAACTTGACCTAAAGACCTCTGTTGGCCTACTAACCTGACCTAAAGACCTTTGTTTGCCTACTAACCTGACCTAAAGACCTATGTCTGCCTACTAACCTGACCTAAAGACCTTTGTTTGCCCACTAACCTGACCTAAAGACCTATGTTTGCCCACTAACATTACCTAAAGACCTCTGCCTACTAACCTGACCTAATGACCTCTATTCACCCACTTCCAGCCGCTGCCCTACAACGTGAACCCCGCCCACATCAGTTGGCAGATGTTGGAGGCCAGCAGGCTCAGACGACTGGGGATTCCCCATCGAGATTCCCGGCGCTGTAACATTGTGTACAACAGTCAAGTGCCCAAGGAAAACGCCGTAAGTAAACCATGTACACTGTACACATCCATCTTGCTCCTGTAACATTGTGTACAACAGTCAAGTGCCCAAGGAAAACGCCGTAAGTAAACCATGTACACTGTACACATCCATCTTGCTCCTGTAACATTGTGTACAACAGTCAAGTGCCCAAGGAAAACGCCGTAAGTAAACCACGTACACTGTACACGTCAAGCTAGCTCCTGTAACATTGTGTACAACAGTCAAGTGCCTAAAGAAAACGCCGTAAGTAAACCACGTACACTGTACACGTCCAACTTGCTCCTGTAACATTGTGTACAACAGTCAAGTGCCCAAGGAAAACGCCGTAAGTAAACCACGTACACTGTACACGTCAAGCTAGCTCCTGTAACATTGTGTACAACAGTCAAGTGCCTAAGGAAAACGCCGTAAGTAAACCACGTACACTGTACACATCCATCTTGCTCCTGTAACATTGTGTACAACAGTCAAGTGCCCAAGGAAAACGCCGTAAGTAAACCACGTACACTGTACACGTCAAGCTAGCTCCTGTAACATTGTGTACAACAGTCAGGTGCCCAAAGAAAACGCCGTAAGCGTAAGTAAACCACGTACACTGTACACATCCAACTTTGTCCTGTAACATTGTGTACAACAGTCAAGTGCCCACGTTACAAGTGCCCAAGCATAAGTTACAACTTAACAGCATGTTATTAAAGAGTCTTACAGTTTCTAACTAAATTACTACACATACAGATTTGTTTAGCTCATTCATCGTTAAGATTTAGTCTTCCTTTAAAACAAGTTTACCAGGATTTCTAATATATACTTTATCATGTGATTATCAAAGACTTAAAATTGACAGAGCTTTGTCATTTTAAAATTTCATTCTAATTAGACTGAAATTTAGCTTATTAAGTTCAAATTAATTTTTGGAAGTTGAGTAATTTACAATCTAAAAATCAGATTTTGGACAAGTGATTAATTGGAGCTTTTCTTTAATTAAATGTTTTTTTTTTTGTCTCCACGTTAATGCGCATGCGTCAGTATTGTTTTCTTTTCCCAAAGACACAAAACCGAAACAATTACAATGTCTTTAACATTATCTGCTGGACACAGTATTTTAAACTCAATCACGTCGATCACGGCACAATCCTCTCAACCCAATCACATTGATCACGGCACAATCTTCACGACCCAATCACATTGTTCACAACACAATCCTCTCGGTACAAGCTCTAGATAGCATCTTCTTCATACGATCACTATTTCGACGACGCAATCTTCTACATGAAATCACAATGTCCTAAACACAATCTTTTTGATACAGCTACAATCTTAACAATACACCGCAGTCTCCACGATATATGAACGTTATCCTTGATACTCCTACTCCCCAATAAAGTACAATCTCTCAATACAGACACAATCTCACGCTACAATCTTCTCTATACAGCTACCTCAGCCTATCTGATTTCAATTCATATCAAAACCTGACACCGTCTTTAGCCGATATTAAAATCCTTCCTGTTTTACGGCTGTGTTGGATCAAATGACAGCCGTCGTTAATGTTGGACACGGGTTCTCTTACTGTAGGTTGTTGGCCCCTGAATGTGGGTTGGATTTTAAATCCATTCAGTACTTGCTTGATTGAGGTAGGGGCAGAGGCGTAGCGACCCTTCCGGCGCCCGGGGACAAAATTTTCGATTTGCACCCCCCCTCGAGATTTTGATTTGCACCCCCCCCCCCTCAAACGTTCAATTTGCACCCCCCTCAACCTTTCAATTTATTTTTCCAACCCATTTTGGCGCCCCCTAAGCTCGGCGCCCGGGGACATATGTCCCCCCCGCCCCCCCCCCCCCCCCCTCGCTACGCTACTAGGTAAGGGAGGGGGTACAGGCCTCCAAAAGATTAATAGTGGGGGTTTTTTTTTTGGAATATTTAGACACAAGTGATTACCCCCCCTTTTGATAACATCGAATCTTACCTAAAAGGCTGTTATAATAACACGTTGCTCATCAACGGTCATTGCATTTAAACCATCACGTCTAATTAAGTGCTAATGCACTAATTAAGTGCATAAAAATATATCTTTGAAAACCAGCACATTAGGACCTTCAAATGGTCACATGACCAAGGGCATTGGGACCTTCAAGCGGTCATATCACCAAGGACATTGGGACCTTGTAGTCATTACATGACCAGGGACATTGGGACCTTCAAGTGGTCACATGACCAGGGACATTGGGACCTTCAAGTGGTCACATGACCAGGGACATTGGGACCTTCAAGTGGTCACATGACCAGGGACATTGGGACCTTCAAGTGTTTACTTGACCAGGGACATTGGGACCTTCAAGTGTTTACTTGACCAGGGACATTGGGACCTTCAAGTGTTTACTTGACCAGGGACATTGGGACCTTCAAGTGGTAACATGACCAGGGACATTGGGACCTTCAAGTGGTCACATGACCAGGGACATTGGGACCTTCAAGTGTTTACTTGACCAGGGACATTGGGACCTTCAAGTGTTTATTTGACCAGGGACATTGGGACCTTCAAGTGGTCACATGACCAGGGACATTGGGACCATAAAGTGTTTACTTGACCAGGGACATTGGGACCTTCAAGTGTTTACTTGACCAGGGACATTGGGACCTTCAAGTGTTTATTTGACCAGGGACATTGGGACCTTCAAGTGTTTACTTGACCAGGGACATTGGGACCTTCAAGTGGTCACATGACCAGGGACATTGGGACCTTCAAGTGTTTACTTGACCAGGGACATTGGGACCTTCAAGTGTTTACTTGACAAAGGGACATTGGGACCTTCAAGTGGTCACATGACCAGGGACATTGGGACCTTCAAGTGTTTACTTGACCAGGGACATTGGGACCTTCAAGTGTTTACTTGACAAAGGGACATTGGGACCTTCAAGTGGTCACATGACCAGGGACATTGGGACCTTCAAGTGTTTACTTGACCAGGGACATTGGGACCTTCAAGTGTTTACTTGACAAAGGGACATTGGGACCTTCAAGTGGTAACATGACCAGGGACATTGGGATCTTCAAGTGGTCACATGACCAGGGACATTGGGACTTTCAAGTGTTTACTTGACCAGGGACATTGGGACTTTCAAGTGTTTACTTGACCAGGGACATTGGGACCTTCAAGTGGTAACATGACCAGGGACATTGGGACCTTCAAATGGTGACATGACCAGGGACATTGGGACCTTCAAATGGTGACATGACCAGGTACGTTTCGACCCTAAAGAAATCGGTCACATACTGTTTAAAATATTCCAGAACTGGCATCATGCACCTCTGTGAACCATGTCCCTTCTTTAGAATCAACAACCAAAGTAATACCTTTCTCATCAGGTTAATTCTGAAACTGTCTCATTTCAATTCAGTTGAAAGTATCTTACTTTATATCATGATGTTGCTTTAAGCATTTCTTATATTCCTTTTTGGCAATTTTCAGTCTTCACGTTTAGATGAATAGGGCTGGGGTAATTACAGATCAAACCGTAAAAATACACAACACATTTGCCCAGAACCTTTTATTTTCTCTCTCCACGCTAATCATTCGATAGCACTTTAAGTTTAGTGCAGACGCAGGAACGGTAACTCAATTTTCCTGGAAAACACGAGTAGCTGGACTTGATGTTTCAGTTACAGGATTGAGTCCCCCGCCATTACCGCCATTAAAGAGGTAGGTGGCGCTGTAACACTGGCCAATCACACACTGTGATCGGTTTAGTAAGGGGCAGATAATGCCTGACAAATGTGCACTTTTCCAGCACCGGAAATAGCTGCCTGGCGGTCTCTGCTCAATTTAGAGGTCGTTGACCTCAGCGAATGTGAGGTTTGTGTTGATTCAGTGTTTACACGGTGGCGTCAATGTGAAGTGTTTGTACACGGATGGGAGAGTACTCGAGGGCGGACGTACTGTTAGGGTCCTGGGAAGGTTGCCATGGAAACAAAAGGTCATTTGCTTTAACAGTTGAACGTAAAGATTTTCTTTTTACTTTTTTTCAATTTTAATTTTACAACAATACAATTATTTTTTTCAACGGTACAATTGTTCAATTTCACAACGTTTCCAATTTACAATTTTTCAACAGTACAATTTTTCAACGGTATAATTTTTCAACGGTACAATTTTTAAATGGTACAATTTCTCAACGGTACAATTTTTCAACGGTACAATTTTTCAACGGTAAAGCTTTTCGAAAGGCAATATTTGTCAGCATAATATTAATATAGCTCAGGAAAAAAAAATATGTGAAGACAAAAGAGCACAGTAGAAAAAAAAATAACCTGACCAGAACCTAATAATATTTTTTTTTAAAAGAAGATTTATCGTTTTAGCCCTAACCCAAACCTGATCTGAGAAAGTAATCAAAACAATGTCTAGGTACCTAGGAATTGTATTACAAGTTTGTGACTTGTCTATACATGTCAAGATATATGAATTACAGCATCATTGTTGTTGATGTATTGCATCTTGAGCAAGCTTATGTTAAATAATATTTAGTACATGAAGATTAACGTGTAGACATAAATGAAGATACATACTTTCAGCAAGTTAAATATATTTTGCTATTCAAGTTAATTATGTCCAGTTAAACAAATTAATTATGTCCAGCTAATCAAGTTAATTATGTCCAGTTAAACAAATTAATTATATCCAGCTAATTAAATCAATAATGTTCAGCTAAACAACTTAATTATGCCCAGCTAATCAAATCAATAATGTTCAGCTAATCAGTTAAAATATAACCCACTGATCAAGTTTAAAAATGCCCAGTGTATCGAGTTAAAGATGTCTAGTTTAATTTATCGCGAAGACTGTTCAGTTTTTCCAATCAACTTTCGTCTAATTTAACTGACAGGATTTTCCGTCTGTATTTTATTTTTGGTAGGTCGGCCTAGTGAGGGTGGGTTTATTTTCGTTCGCTCTTTAAATGTGACAAAACAGTGTGACGCTAGGTGGCGCTAATGATGGGCGTACTTTTTGTGTCCGTGCTATCCACTTTCATTTGGGTTTTAAAAGTGTTTGTGTACTTGACCAAAAAAACTGATTGTGTGTACTATATGGTGTAACGGCTGATTGTGGTGTAACGGCTGATTGTGGTGTAACGGCTGATTGTAACGGCTGATTGTAACGGCTAATGGTGCTGTAACGGCTGATTGTAACGGCTGATTGTGGTGTAACGGCTGATTGTAACTGCTGATTGTACTATATGATCTCATAATTTACCTCCTGTGCTTGATGCGACATTAAACTCAAATGTTTAATATCTGCATTGGTATCACTCACAACTGAACCAAATGGAAATGTCAGCATGATATTGTGTTCTGTCCTGGTTTGCAGTTAAAAATAAACTTCTGTTTACATAATTCATCCACACGTATTCATTACGTACCATTTTATGTGTGACGTCTGTAGACCTTTATGAACTATTTGATTAAAAACATAGATCTAGCTTCTCGCTTGACTTATAAGTCTTGCCTCTATGAGAATAAAACCTAAGATTTATATAATGTGACGTACTACTCTAAACAACCATCTCAGATTCCATGATTTTTAGGCCCATAATATTTGGTCACCACTAGATCGGAATTGTGTAGTTATATAATAAGCGTATTCTTAGTCTAGAGGTCAAACGATGCCTTGACCAACCTTGTGTTCCCATCTGCAGGCTTTGAACCAGATGCCCAGACGCCAGCCCCCGTGTATCGACGTCCTGCTAGAGAACACCAAACGGTTCAACACCAACTCGCTGGCACCGTTCTACACTCACGAGAAGCGCACGTGCGGCTACTTCTTCTCACGGGAGACGGACAACAGGATCACCAAAAATGGCGTCCCACCCAGTGACTTGGTCGCCTGGAGGTCAAACTCGTTCATCTGATGCCTCGGGTTTATCATTTTGTGGAGGTTTAACATCGTTCATCTGAGGCCCGAGTTTAGCATATGTGTAGAGTTTAACATCGTTCATCTGAGGCCTCGAGTTTAGCATTTTGTGGAGGTTTAACATCATTCATCTGAGGCTCTAAGTCTAGCATCTGTGTAGTTTAACATCATTCATCTGAGGCCTCGAGTTGAGCACATGTGTAGAGGTTTAACATCGTTCATCTGAGGCCGAGTTTAGCATTTCTGTAGAGTTTAACATAATTCATCTAAGGCCTCAAGTTTAGCATATCTCTATAGTTAAACATCATTCATCTGAGACCTCGGGTTTAGCATTTCTTTGGAGTTTAACATCGTTTATCTGAGCCCGAGTTTAGCATATCAGTAGAGTTTAACATCGTTCAACTGAGGCTCCAAGATTAGCATATCTGTAGAGTTTAACATCGTTCAACTGAGGCTCCAAGTCTAGCATATCTGTAGAGGTTTAACATGGTTCACTTAAAGCTTATAACCTATAACAGCCCTAGTATCCCAATAGAAAACACCATCTCAGTATTTTCCTATGTAGTAGATAGCTGTCAAATAAAATAGTTTACTATTTAGATAGCAAAGAGAATTACATCTGTAGTAGCATATATAAAAATCAAAATAACATCCAAATCAAAGTTGTTGTTATTATTTGGTTTTAAAAGTGTTATCAACATTTAAAAATATATAAATAAAAAGCCAGATTCAATAGTTATTTTAAAAATAATTGTTAAAACAAGAACATAATATTGAATGAAAGCGAATGGAAGCGGAACAGCTTAACTATAAAGTCTGATGTGGAAATAGCAGTGAGTACGGGCCAGATTCTATTTACACAATGGTTCAGCTACATACCGCGTAGGCGTATGGACAAGATTGTAAACAAATCCCTCTCTGATGAATTGAAATGAAGAAAATGGAGATGTTGCAGATCATTGATGTAAATAAATTAAAATTAAAGCTACAGAACCAGACATGGATTTAAAAAAAAATGCTTAAAAAGTACAAACTAAAAGTCGTAAACCCAATGGCACTGTATTTTTGGTCAACAAAAAGTGTCCCATTTGTTGGAAACTTTGGCAGCAGTAACTGATGCTGCCAGCAGGACGCGGTTATTTTGGTTCCAGAGTTTATAGCACGTGTTATTGTTTGGTGCTAATATAACACAGATGTTATTATTTTTTGTATTTTTGTCTAAATCAAGTTAAGATAAATCATTAAAATTAAATATTAATCAACTAATATTAAGTTAAGGAACTGTAACAACATAACGAATCCAATGCCACAATTGAACATGCAGGAATAGACATACACGTTAGTGAGTTGTTTTCTTGGAGAGTTGCTGTATGGTTACAGGTCGAGTCGGTAAAAGCGGATGGTTGCTAAACCGAAAAAACTCGAGTTCGAATCCCCAGGTAGATGAGGCTCGATTGCTGGGGACAGCAACTCTTCTAGGAGAGACAACTCTAAAATCAAACAACTTCTGCCTTGTAGTTTGTTCTTGGTTGGACAAAGGCTATGGAAGCAAATCCAAAAAAAGAAAAGCAGGCTGAAATTGGAGTCAACGGCCTATATGATTGAATAACAAGTTGACACGTAATACATAATACGAGCCGACCCGCAGCGTGTCATACGCCGCTATTTAGTTGTTTATTTTCTACTTTTCTGTAATTCATAATTTGTGAATTCGACAGTACCAATGCTGCCACTGAAAATATTTGCTTTAAAACACTAACCCCCCCCCCCCCTTTCCCCTAACCCCGACCCTACACCCCCCCCCCCCTCGCCCCCCGTGAAAGCAGCCTCCTCTTAATTATTTCAAAGTTACCTCCTCTAAGTTTAAAATCGAACTAAATTATCTGCCCCTAATAGAAACCCGGCTCTACGGCTCTACGATTTGTAAACATTTAGCTTTGTAAACATTTAGCGTGACAACAGCTCACCAGACAATGTGGGGGTGGGGTGGGTGGGGGTGGTAGTGATAGTGATAGAGAGAAAGAGAGGGGACTGCAAGGAGGCGCTTGCAGCTTGTTTTCTAACGGCTCCCAGAAGAGAATTATATATATAGATTGTGTTGGAGGAAATCCCTTTTAACATTACAATCAAGAACGAAGAAGAATAAACAAGCTATATGGTTAACCCTGTCGAAATATTCACCTAATGTGATACCAGCACACAGAATGTGTACCATTCTGTATGATGGGGGATTTTAAATAAACTTATTTTTTAAAAAAAATATTTTGTGCTATATAGCAAACAAATAGGCTGTATGAAACAGACAGAACAGATACGTAGATTCGTCATTGAAGTAACTGATGTTTATGAGGAAATAACCTTTTTGGTCTAAGAGGTAATACAGTCTGACAAGGACAAAGGGAGCGCACTTTCTGTTTTTACGGTAATTTCGTTTGAACTAAATGGAGTTATCTTGGAGACATAGCTATCCACTTATGTGGCCTCTTTATACTTAGTTTAGTGCAGATAAAATCCTTTCTTATTGAAAGCTTTTACTTAGGTCTCAATGCCTGTCTCAATCTGTCTGTTGGTGGGATTATCTTGTTACTCGATCTGTCTGTTGGTGGGATTATCTTGTTACTTGATCTGTCTGTTGGTGGGATTATCTTGTTACTTGATCTGTCTGTTGGTGGGATTATCTTGTTACTCAATCTGTCTGTTGGTGGGATTATCTTGTTACTCGATCTGTCTGTTGGTGGGATTATCTTGTTACTTGATCTGTCTGTTGGTGGGATTATCTTGTTACTTGATCTGTTGGTGGGATTATCTTGTTACGTCATCTGTCTGTTGGTGGGATTATCTTGTTACTCGATCTGTCTGTTGGTGGGATTATCTTGTTACTTGATCCGTCTGTAGGTGGGATTATCTTGTTACTTGATCTGTCTGTTGGTGGGATTATCTTGTTACTTAATCTGTCTGTTGGTGGGATTATCTTGTTACTTGATCTGTTGGTGGGATTATCTTGTTACGTGATCTGTTGGTGGGATTATCTTGTTACTCGATCTGCCTGTTGGTGGGATTATCTTGTTACTTAATCTGTTGGTGGGATTATCTTGTTACTTGATCTGTCTGTTGGTGGGATTATCTTGTTACTTGATCTGTTGGTGGGATTATCTTGTTACTCGATCTGTTGGTGGGATTATCTTGTTACTCGATCTGTCTGTTGGTGGGATTATCTTGTTACTTGATCTGTCTGTTGGTGGTATTATCTTGTTACTCGATCTGTCTGTTGGTGGGATTATCTTGTTACTTGATCTGTTGGTGGGATTATCTTGTTACTCGATCTGTCTGTTGGTGGGATTATCTTGTTACTCGATCTATCTGTTGGTGGGATTATCTTGTTTCTCAGTTTTGACCATTAATGATTTCATTTCACTCCACCGTGTCGTCAAACACTTGTATTCGATGACGTCGACAGAAAATCTAATTTTCGTTTAATAACTTACTGTATTCTTTTTTTTTTAAATAATTTAAAGATTACTTAATAAACGTATTTCCTATGGGGTTGGATCGCAGTTAAATATTAACCAAACCAAAATTATGAAATAGAATGTAATTAGCAAAAATAAAATATATTAAAATAAACAAAACACAAGCAGATGAAGTAAAAGATATCACATTTATTTAGGTAGCAGTCTCAATGATGAATTGACTGCTCCACTGAAATTAAAACACGCATCTCCTAAGTCAAACAAGCCTTTGCAACCATGCACAAAACATGACGATAGAAGAAAATCTCCACGACCAAATTATGCCGACTTTTCAAAAGTAATGTCGTTAGTGTCCTACTGTATAGCAGCGAATGCTGGGAAGTAACCACCGCTACCATCCAATCATTAGATTCCTTCCAAGCCTGAAAATGATAAAATGATAAAATTCATCAAGTGGTTTAAGACCATCTCCAATGATAGGTTATTATGAGAAATAGAAAAAGAAGCTGTTTCACAAGTAATTTTTAAAAATCTCGCGCGGTGGGCCATGTATTAAGGATGGGACCTGGGGAATATAGCAGTCGCCGAATTGAGGGCCACAAGGAAAACGATGACACGTCTAGGGGAGACGTTGAGGCGGTAGGCAGAAAAAAAACAACTGACAAAAACTGGATGTCTTGGTGAACTGTAAAGAAAGTTTCCAGAGACCAGACATTGAGAAAACTTCATGTGACGGCCATGTTTTCTGAGCACCGACGCGAATAGACGATGGCGTTCTAGAATAAAAGTGGAAATAGAAATCTATGTAGTTGCGGTAAGTGGATGAGTCATGTGACCGGGGTGAGTTGTGTTCACGGATATTTTCACATTTGAGGGCAGATCGGTGACTTTAATAGGGGCAGATAAGTGTTGCTGATTTTAGTCGTGTGCGGTGTCGACTTAATGAAGAACGAACGGACTTGAAGGAATAAATATGGTACAACACTTAAACAACAAATTAACTAATTTAACTATTTAAATGTACGGATAACTAAAACGTAGAAAATAAAACAAATAAGATGTTTATAATAACAAGCCTTTAAATGAAGTAAAAAGAAATTAAAACTTCCATCTTTGGTAAAAGTGTGGGTCACTAATGAAATCCCTAACTGGTAAAATTTGTGTCGACAAAGCTTCTATTTAAAGGTTTGTTTTTATTCAATACATTTAAAGATAAAATTATAGGTTCAGTAGGGAAACACAAGTCGAAATATTAGTTCATAATATTTTATCGATTCTACTCTACTGTTGACAAGCAGGCCTTTAAATATGACAATTAAGTTGCATCAAACATGTTGTACTATGGAATAGAAGCTGGAGAAAACGAAATCATGGACACTTTGTGCGTGTTATTTAAACTGTGTTAGCTTTATTGACTTAGCTTAGTATTGTATGGATTTTCTTCTAGTTCCAATGTAATTGATCAGCTAACTAGATCTAATTTACTGAGTTATCGTTCCTTTTGTTACAGTGGGCCACATAGTTTCTTCCAGGCATCTCTTCGGGGGGGGGGGGGGGGGGGGAGGAAGAAAGTCTACCGCCCCCCCCCCCCCCGAACGAGATGGAATTTTTATAGTAAACATATTTTTACGAGTGTCCGCCCCCCCCCCCCCCGAAAATGAGGACCGCACCCCCGAAAATATCAAGTGCCCCCCCCCCCCCCCCGAGAAAAAAAAAGTATGGTGGACCACAGGACAGATTCCTAGATCCGCATTGAGAAACTCCACCAAACTTTGTGCACTTAATGACCTTTACTCCCACCACCCATGTGTCTGTAGTCGGTATTTAGAAGATTACGGTCAAATGTTTCCCCCAATCTTCCCACATCACCACCACTCTATCAGCTGATCACATCATTCGATTCAAGTTTTCAGCTAAACGCGAGCGTCTGTTAACTTACATCACACGAGAAAAACGCTATTATTTTAAACTTGTTTGAAAAAAAAATATTTGTAGTTGTCCAGCTGTAAGTTAAAATTTTGGCAAATCAACAACCAAATTCAATGTTTTGACCAACAATGTTGTCCCACATTTAGCATTTATATTGATCTGGACAGCTGAGTTTGGGCCTAATGTTTGAACATTATGTACCCCTGGTTTGAGAATAAGAGAATATATT